TTCGTTACGATTCCATTTCCCTTTTTGGAGCGATTCGTGCGGCTCAAGGATGCGGGTGGGAGTAGGTGCAGGGAGGCCCCGCCCCGGGATTCTTGGCTGGGTCTGGTGGAAAGCCCCTCGTTCGAACATTCCGCCCGGGGTTTTAGGGGTCGTGGTGTAGGAGTGGATATGTGATGTTGATTACCTTGCCAATCTTTGGCTTCTGCGCGCGTGTGAGACAGATTTTATTATATCTTCCATTTGAAGAGATTGCTTCTGGTGGCCTAGTGGGAGAGAGCTTTTAGACCAGCAAAGGGAAACTCGGCCCCGGTTTCTACTTTAGTAGCAGACCATTTTCGGGGGGCTACTAAGATCTTTTACGCGGTGCTGATTTGGGGCGAGGAATAAATGTTTGAGGTCTCAACTGAACAATGGTGGTCCATGAAAGAAAGCTTCTGATTTTTCCTTTATTGTCTAGCACTTACCCATGCAATCTGTGGCCAATATTTTCGGACAATGATCTGTGCAAGTTACTTGGGCGAGTTCCCAAGTATCTGAACAAACTCTCAGATTTGAGCTGATATGCTTTCATCCTTTTGTGTCCGTGGTAGGAAGTTGGAACAGGTGGTATGAAAAAGACTGGGTTTCCCCTCCCCTCGTATTTGTCTTTGAGATGCCTCGTGCTCTTCAGGCCTCACTGATGTTGTTTAGAATATGCTGATTTTGATATGGCCGTGTCACGAACCATTAGATGCCAGCTTAGTGTGTTGGAATCTTTGACTTGATTCATTGTCATACTACATGTTTTGTTTGCTCCTAGTTATTCTTATCCAGTATCACCTAAACACTGCTTTGTTTTTGCTGTTGTAATCTTGTAGCCTTGTGGCTTCCTGTACCATTGCGGCACTTGGGGCTTGATTGTTCCTGTTGCCTTGTAGAACTGGTGGCGGCAGGCCAGCTAATACTTGCTCGATTGCTCCTAGTCGCTTGCTTTTGGCCTCATGAGCTTGACATTTTATATTTGCTTTATCTCAATATATGCAGATCCTTACCTCAACACTGATGCCGGGACTATGTCCCCGTTCGAACACGGTGAAGTGTTTGTGTTAGATGATGGTGGTGAGGTACTGTCATAGGACCAAGTCCAAGTGGGACAATGGCTAGGGAATGTTTGTTCACCTCATCAAGTATTGTCTTGTGCATCTTGCAGGTGGACTTGGATCTTGGGAATTATGAGAGGTTTCTTGATATTAAACTCACCCGGGACAATAATATAACTACTGGAAAGATCTACCAGGTAAGCTAATTATTTTCTCATTCTAAAACTTTATCTATATGGCTTTCGGGTCTGCAATCAGGAACAGTGCGTATTTAAAGCCCCACCCTCATTTCTTGGGCATCCAAACATTCAACAATTGTGAAACGTTTCAGTTGATGTTGACGTTGATATACTTGTACCATAGGAAGGAAAAGGATGTATTTGTTGTGTTATGTCACTAGAGTGTAGAGTACATAAGAATGAAGAGAATTTATAGTACTCCCTCGGTTCACAAATATAAGATGTTCTAGTAACTTTTTTCTGAATTGGATGTATACAGACACGGTTTAGTGTGTTTCTTCACTTATTTCAGTCCGTATGTAGTCCATATTGAAATATCCAAAACATCTTATATTTGTGAATGGAGGGAGTGCTATTTAACAACAAGGATATATACGGGTACTAACATGTATAATATGTGTCATCGTGAATACAGTTTTTTTTTGGAGAGCTTTCGCCTTTTGGCTTTTATTCATTAAGCAAAAGCTTCTCCGGTTGAATAATCTCAGTCAGAAAGCCAGGGATAACAGAGTAATTTATTACAACATCTGAAGCTAAAGCTTCTCGTGCCAAGCTGTTCTGAAATTTTTTATTTGCTTTTTTTTGGTTCATGACAGTCTGTTATTGACAAGGAGAGGAAAGGGGAATACTTGGGAAAGACTGTGCAGGTGAGGACCACATTATGCACAGCATTTTTTTCCTGGTAACTACTGTATGTATGTTTCTTCAAGTGCTTATCATTAAACCAATCAATCATCAAGGTTGTGCCACACATTACAAATGCCATACAAGACTGGATCGAGCGTGTTGCTATGATACCGGTGGATGGCATGGACGGACCAGCTGATGTCTGTGTGATCGAACTGGGTGGAACAATTGGTGGGCATGAGATAATTAGTTATTTTATTTGTTTATTTATGTTGATTAGCTGATGTCTGTAGCTTGATTATGTTGTCACTACTGCTACAGGTGATATTGAATCTATGCCATTTATTGAAGCTTTGGGTCAATTCTCGTATCGTGTTGGTGAGGAACTTACAATTTATATTAATACATAAAAAACTGTACTGTCTTTCCTGGGCTAGGGGAAACTTATCTTCTTTTGGATATTATTTTGGTTGCCAGGACCTGGCAACTTCTGTTTGGTGCATGTCAGTCTCGTTCCAGTTCTGAATGTTGTTGGTGAACAGGTAGCCAAATTCCCTGGTTTATTGTTTTATGATCTACTCCCTCTGTAAACCTTTATAAGACGTTTTAAATCACTAAATGACCTAAAACGTCTTATAAAAGTTTACAGAGGTAGTACATCTTAATATGTGAAAAAAATCATTTTAATGTCACTGCCTAATATTTGTCATTTTTTTATTTACTTTTATAGAAAACCAAGCCGACTCAACACAGTGTGCGTGGTTTAAGGGGACTTGGCCTCACCCCAAATATTTTAGCTTGTCGCAGTACAAAGGTTAGTTAGCCCTTATTTACTTTGATGTTGTATGTTACTTATATTTGTTTGTATTCTTAATCTCATTTTTCGCACTTGTATTTGACAGGAACTGGAAGAAAATGTCAAAGAGAAACTCTCCCAGTTCTGCCATGTGCCGGTAATTGAACTGTAAATGTTATTGTTAGTGATTGCTTCATATTCTTGGTAGCTAATTTCCCCTGATAGCTCATGAACAAATTTGTTCTGTAGGCAACAAACATTGTCACTCTGTATGATGTTTCCAATATTTGGCGTATTCCTTTGTTGCTACGGGTATAGCACATCTCATCCTCTGTAGTAATTCATTTTTGGTTCCTCAACATTTCTGTGTAGTGCTGAATCGTATTTTGTCCCATAGGACCAAAAGGCGCATGAAGCTATTCTTAAAGTTCTGAACCTTGAAAGGTTTGCCTATACATATCTAGTCAGTGCGTTTTTGTTCAAGCTGTAGTGTGTCGGTGCAATAAATATTTATGTGTACACATTTGCAGCTTTCCTCGTGAGCCAAAGTTGGATGAATGGGTTGCAAGAGCTACTATGTTTGACACCCTTCAGGATACTGTTAGTTTTTCCCACTTTGATTGTTGGCTGTTGCCCTCAACTCTTTTTATTCTTATTAGTTCCAAGTGACTAATGGCTTCATTTCAGGTACGCATTGCTATGGTTGGGAAGTACACTGGTCTATCTGATTCCTATCTCTCTGTGTTGAAAGTGAGTTTGATTTGCACAGCTATACTAGTCTTTTATGCCTTCTAAATGATTGCTAGTGTCTAACAGTTGAATCCGATGCAATTGCACAATTGCAGGCTCTCTTGCATGCTTCAGTTTATTGCCACAGAAAGCTTGTTGTTGATTGGGTTGCTTCTACAGATCTTGAGGACTCTACCAAAATTGAGGTTTGGCAGTCTCCTATTGTTCTGTCTGCTCGATCTGGGCTGTTTTCTTTTCTTACACGACCTTTTTTTTTCTTAGGCACCTGATGCTTACAAAGCAGCTTGGAATTTATTGAAGGTGAGGACTTTTCACCACCGAAAATGTTTTACACTCGAAGTTGAATGGTGCCACGTGTATGATTTGTGTAAAATTTTAATTTCCATCATGATTATCTAATGGTCTTTCATTTCAGAGTGCTGATGGCATTTTAGTACCTGGTGGCTTTGGAGATAGAGGTGTTCAAGGAAAAATTCTGGCTGCTAAGTATGCCCGTGAAAATAATGTACCATATCTTGGTATATGTCTTGGAATGCAGATGGCTGTTGTAGAGTTTGCTAGGAATGTCATGAATCTCTCTGATGCAAACAGTACTGAATTTGATCGCAATGCCAAGGCCCCATGTGTTATTTTTATGCCTGAGGTTTGTGAAATTCATAACTTGTGTTATTAATGATCGCGCTGGTTGCCATAAAAATTAATGGTAACAAAGCAACTTTTTGTCAGTCCCATGCATACCTCGGAGTTAGATTTCTATTCATTTTTGTTTTAGGGTTCCAAAACACATATGGGTGGCACAATGCGCCTAGGATCGAGGAGGACATTCTTCAAGGTTGCTGGTTGCAAGTCAGCTAAATTGTGAGTATAATCATTTCCTTAAGCCTAGGTGTCATTTTATCAGCATTCTCCTTACATAATCATGGGCTTTCTCACTTTTTTTAGGTATGGCAATGTGGATTATGTTGATGAGAGGCACCGGCACAGATATGAGGTCTGGCTTTAATAATTTTGCGTTCATAGCTGCGATGAGGATATGAGTACATTAAGTTCTTGCCTGTTCACGGGGGTCTGTAACATGTTCATCTTCACAGGTGAATCCTGATATGGTGCCAGAGTTTGAAAATGCTGGACTTAAGTTTGTTGGCAAAGATGAGAGTGACAGGAGAATGGAGGTTTGACTAAAACCACGACTTGCTCGCTTGGAAATCTTTCAATTCAGAAAAATTCACGCCTTGATCAAGTTGCTATTTTTCTAGATAATCGAGATACCCAATCACCAGTATTTCGTTGGCGCACAGTTTCATCCTGAATTCAAGTCAAGACCTGCGAAACCTTCTCCACTATTTGTTGGTAAGCTGTTTGCTGTCTGTTCACCTGTTGAGAAACACTTACTTCATCATGCTACGAAATGGAAACAGGTGTTTAAAAACCATATGTTAATCCTCGTTTGTATTTTAGGGCTAATCGCCGCCTCATCTGGGCAATTGGACAAGGTGCTACAAAGCTGCTCGAATGGCCATGTGCTTCCTGCCAAACATCAGTTCAGCAATGGTCCATACACGCTGGCTGCACACCAAAATGCAAACGGGCATGCGAAGAAGCTTGCCAATGGTCTAGCGAATGGAACATACCATCCCAATGGGAATGGTGTCCATGCGTAGCTAGCTCAAGGATGCTCTCACCCTTTTTACATTTTTTGCAGTTGTTGCATCAGTTTTGTCGTGGTTGGCTAAGCTACCATGGTCGCTCGAGGAAGAAAAAGTTCTGTACTCGATGCGGACTGTCTGCAGGGGATTGTGCTCGTTCGGTGGTTTTTAATGAAAGAACCGAGCTGGATCTGCGTGCGAGTGGTTTGCTTCTTCTCTACTAATTTCTGTAACAAGACAACAGAAGTGGGTAAGAAGAGTTTCTGTGCTGTATATCTGAAAAAGGAAAGGCTGGACGTTGTATTTGTTTCGAGAGCTGGTGTTGAGATGTAAGCGAATTTGGGTGTTCAGCACTTTGTATTTGGACGCAGTTTTGTGCTTTTTGCACAAATAACTTGATATGATGTATCTGACTGCTTTGACTGCTTTGTTATAGTGCCTTGCATGATTTGAAGCCTATAAGAAAAATTTATTAGTAACATATAAAATAATAAATTAGTTTCATTGCGTTAATCATATGATATATTTTTGTTAATCATACGATATATTTTTGTGCCGTATAGATTTGACGTCGATATCAACAATTTTTTTCAATCTATATTTCACCAAATATCGAGAAGTTTGACTTCAGATGGTTAAATTATTTGGATTCTTGGATTGGTTTGGAATGAAGGAAGTACTAGTAGATTCTGGGAGTGATGTATCATGTGTCGAGAAGTTTAGCAGTGATGTTTTGTACTCCCTCTGTAAAGAAATATAAAAGCGTTAAGATCACTAGTCTGTAGGGATTAGGAGTGTTTGGTTGTGGTTATGTCCAGTTGGATTTGAGATAGTAGTGTTTCGTACCGTTCGTCTGTCAGGATTGAGTGTTTAACTCAGGTCATGAGGTGCAAATGGTTCCAGATTTTTGGGGTGATTTGTGTGTTTGGTTGGGGTACTAACAGAGCGAGTTGGTTTCTTAGGGAATGTTTGACCTAGGTGTTCGCACACGAACACTTAACTGTGTACTCTTGACATCAGGGATGGTGCACCACGGCTCACGTCGAACAAGACCCATCCGAAAGTGCAGTGCGCAAGCAATTCAGCGGCCGCTTTTGTAGACCTGAAGCTCCGCTCGCCCAGAAGAAACTCGTTTGGACGTACGATGACTATGATCTGCCTTAGGTTGATCTGACCGTCCTTAGGGCCTCGTGGATCTCTGCTCTTCAATTTTGAAGAACGACGAAAAACAAGAAGCAAGATACAAGGGAGAGGGATAAAAAGTAGGAGAATATGAAAAAGTCGTAGATTGATTTGTTCGATTGTGTGTTGCTCAATCGGCCATCACCTTCAACATATATAAGAGGCGGTTGAACTTCCCGTACAAAAGGACTTCAAATTTCTCAACTTCCTAACTTAACCGAACTCGGATTTAGGTATGCCTGAGACAACAATTCTGTTTTTGGTTTTTACAGGCCATATACTATGTCGGATGAAGACGTTCCCAAAAGAAAATTCAACCGTTTCGACGATACAAACAACTTCCATGTTGAACACCTTTTCATCTGAGGCCATCTAGATGTCTTTACGGGTCCATCTTCAACTTCCGGTCGGGTTTAACTGACGTAGTTGGATTTAGAGTTCCATGTCACCTCCCTCGGATTTTGGGACCTAAAATTTTATGATCTTGGATTGCACATGACCTCGGATTGCTCAACGGGATTTTCCAGCTTGATCTTGTTTTGCCTCCATAGGTCACATACGACCTCGGATCGAAATGATTTATATATCAGAATCAATCGGCTTGATGAGATGAAGACATTTTATGTAGAGAACTCTTTCATCTGAGGTCATCTTGAAGGGGTAATTGATCGAACAGTACTCCAGAACCCTAAATCTCAATACTTCGAACTCAGTTTCGGCCCCTGAGATGAGGTCGGATGGCAATGACCTAAACATAAAAGTTGTTTGCTTCGACGATATGGAACATTTTCATGTTGAAAACATTTTCATTTGAAGCCATCTTAACTACGGTTTTGCCATGCCAAAGTTTGATGTCAACATATGCCCTCTTGTTTTTCGGCAGAGCTTGCATGCCGAAAAAGTAACTTGCACCGGCTTAGTCCTAAGGATGATGTCAACACTCCATCAACCATTTTACATATTCTTAGGGTGATAAGTATACATCGACCATCTATACTCTTAGGTATGATGACAGATGCCCATGACATAATCACATGTGTCTGGCCAGACGATGACGGATGCTGTCATGCCAAGAGGGCCTTAAGAATATCTCTCCATCGCCGGAGGAGCAAATCCCACTCTCGAGTTATCTAGTCCCTTGCCAAACTTTTCAATGAACCTGTAAGTTGTCGTTATGATCGCCGTGTTATAGGTGATGTTTGAGCAACCACAAAGTCCATCATACGGTAAGAAGTGACTAAGATACTCTCATGGTCTAAGAAACTAAATCAACGTTAACTCTCCGTGTTATAACATTTGACTTCTGATGATATTATCTCAAAGTATAACAAACAAGTTTGGGTCGATTCAATATGATCATTCTTCTAACATCATATTCTCAAAGTTGTTTTAGGACCATCATTACACTTAAGATATCCTAGAGTATACAGCAAAAAACTACCACATTACAGGCTATGTCTACAAAAAACTACCACTTTTTTTAATCTTTCAAAAAACTACCACAAATTTGATTTGTTGTTTCAAAAAACCCAAATTATCATGTGATTTAGAATTAATTCAAATTATGACAGGTCGGCCCCACTCCTAAGCAAACCATTTGTTGTCTGTTTGTTTGACCGTTATCTTACAAGTGAGGCCCACATGTAAGCCATCTCTTCTTCCTCTCATCTCCTCTCTTCTCCTCTTTCTCTCCTTACCTTCTTCTTTCTCTCCCGAGGCAGCCGGCGCCGCCACGGCTGAGCAGAACCAAGACCGAAGCAGCCATGCCTGACACCACCTTCCCTTCGGGGAACTTCTCCTCCGCGCCGCGAGCCACCGCGTGGCCGCCACCTCCCGCCGCTGACGCAGATGAGGCTGCGTGCGGCCGGTGGTGCACCGGCTGCCGCCATTGCGTGAAGCTCTGTGACGCCGAGCTAGACGAAGACGACCCGTCGCCGTTGTTGACATTAGCATTACCCCCGTGTACCACCTGCTTCTGACGATGCCATTGCATCGGTGACGGCACCGCCGAAGCCACAGCTGCCTCCACCAGCGCCGGCGACGCGAACGCGTCATCGCAGGGTGTGGCTGACCCACCACCGCCTCCCTTCACTCTACCATTCCCCGCCGCACCATTGTCACCTACTGCTGCTGCCCCACCATGGTCAGCCATGAACAACGGAAGAGCGGGGGGAGCAGGAGTCACCGCGTGCAGCAGCAGAGTAGCGGCTCCGCCGTGTGCAGCGGCCGGAATGCCCTCGAGCTCCGCGTCCAAAGCAAGGCCGGACAATGTGCATAGGGTCCCTTCCTCGGCTCCGGCGATGAGCTCGCCGGCGGGGACCCGATTGCTTTTTATACTTTTTTGCAGGGACCCGATTGCTTTACAGGGACCTGATTGCTTTTATTTTTTCTATAGGGACCTGAATGCACTTCAAAAATATGTGGGGCCCACCTGTCTTAACCTGTTAATGGTCAACCTAACGGTCAAAGATAACGATCAACCTGACGAGTGGACCCAAGCTGTCAAAATTTCGCTTAAAACTTAATGGTTCAGTCACTTGGGTTTTTTTGGAACAGCAAACCAAATTTGTGGTAGTTTTTTGAAAGATTAAAAAAGTGGTAGTTTTTTGTAGACATAGCCCGTAATGTGGTAGTTTTTTTTTTGCTATATACTCAATATCCTAAGATCCAGAAAACATGATCACCAACAACACTTGAGCTAGTCTTAGAGGCGAGACTAGGAATCATATTTTACTATTTATTATTCCACACGTGCATATGAGTTTTTCACTGAATCGCACATTCCAGGATCATAGCAGTTATAGCATAGAATATAAACTCTTAATTATGAACATGAAAAAAATATAATGATACAATATTATTGCGTCTTTGGCATATTTCCAACCCAAGTAAGGAGTAGCGCAACACGAACAACAATAAGAAAATCAACAGTAAGGGAACAAAACTACCCAAGGCCTTTCTCCTTTCCCCCTCTCGTCCCACCTCCTTTCTCATTGAGAGTCGCCACAAGCCAAGGCCTGACTCCGGCCCCTCTCCTCTCTAACGACGTTGCCGTCGGAGATGGTAAGGGAAAGAGTGGGGGTAGATCTTGTACGGAGCAAATTTAGGTTTGATGTACATGGTGACAGAAGGGAATTTCTTTCCTTTCTTCTTGTCATCATGGAGACAGAAGGGAACTTGGAATGAGATTTGTACATGGCTCGGGCTACTGATGCATGCTCTTGTTGGATCTATCATTCCAGTGAGCTAGATGTGCCTTGTTCTGGTGGAGGGCCTCCAGACTGCTAGCAGTTGCTAATCCCATTGCGATGATGAGAAGGTAGGGCTGGTTACAAAGGACTCTGAATGCAGCAGATGGGGTTCAAGAGCTTAAACGATAGTGGATTTGGAGGAGCTTCGACACCCTTCATGGAATATGGTTGGCTTATTCTGACGAGTCATTACATTTTTTGGTCGAAAGCCAACCTATTTCATTCCTTCTGGCCAAGATGCTAGAGGTTGGCAGTGCTGCTTCAGGATGGTGTCCTTGTTCGAAATATGCCCTAGCTAGAGGCAATATTATTGTATTATTATATTTCCATAGTCATAGTTAAGTGTTTACATTTCATGCTATAACTGCTATGATCCTGGAATATGCGATTTAGAGGAAACCTCATATGCACATGTGAAATGATAAATGGATAAAATAAAGACTCCTAGTCTCCCCTCCACGACTAGCTCAAGTGTTATTGATGATCACGTTTTTCGAATCTTAGGATATCATCAAGTGTAACGATAGTCCTAAAAGAACATTGAGATTATGGCGTTGGAAGAATGATCATATTAAATCGACC